TAAGGTGTAGAGATGATGGATGGATGGACATCAGGGCTCCTTCTGATAGATCTCTGTCACTCTGAGCCCAGCGCTGCCTCACTTTACCTGTAACCTCATAAATTCTACATCTGCGAACTGAAAATTTCTCCCATTTGTTCTTGGGTTTCCAACTAAAGAATTGGGGCGAACAAAGTGTTCATTTTCTTGAGGAAACAAGGTAATTACGGAGAACTTGCAGGTGAATATCTGGTTCATTTACCTGATTTCAGCCGTCAGGGTTGCTGCCATGATCGTCAACAATCTGTGTAGTGTCACAGAACTGAACAGATCGCAACCAGAAAGAGCGATGCCTGTGTTGGATCTCAGTTAAATGGCTGTCAAACTACTTTACAGTTGACGAGACGCCTTTGATGCACATTGACATGCAGCGTGCAGCTCACTTTTTTCTTGGTCAGAGTTGACACATTAACACTTGATGTGGCTTTTATGTATGACTATTTATTAATAAGGATAATAAGAATGCAAATGAAAAGCAGCTACCTGCTCTGTGCTTTAGCTGATAGAAAAACAGAGAATTTTACCAATCCAGCCTCCTGTTTGTATTCCTCAGCGCTCACACACCAGTTTTTATCTAAAGACTATTTTATTTTTTGCGCTTCACAAAGGCGAGAGAACAGGGCACATGCTGGCATCCTCATTAACGTGAATTAGCAACGGCTCGAGCTCATGCATGAATTCTACATCAATAAAATTAATGTGTGAACAACAGATAACGACATATTGTCAGTATTTAGAAGCTCCATCTCCCCACCGGTCTGCACCCTGCTGCTCGGCACTCCCAGAGTCTGGAAAACAAAGAGGCCTTTTCTTTCTCGTTATACGAAATAAAAATACAAACTCACGGGAAAATTAGCATCGTTATCTCGAGATAACGAGATAAAACAACCCGCTCTCATGAGAAAATGGCCAGAAAAGATAATCCCCTGCTCCTTTTGATGTTGGTATTTGTTTAAGTCTTCATTGTTCTCCTCGGTTTGTTCTTAATCGGTTGTTCGGTGCCATAAAAAAGGCGGCTGATCGCAGATCTGAAAAACACGAAGGGAGGACTGTGAATCAGCGTTGTCTTTTTCAAACCATTTATTGTGCTTTAAGCTGATATTCTGAAGGATCACTGCACAACTTCTAATGCGCTAAGTTTGGGTTTTTAAGGCTCAATTAGTGAGTTAACGTAACAGCGAGCAAGCAAAGGACTGGAACCATCTGGTAGTAATTCATCATTTATCTCAAAATGAGTTCAAATAAACCTTCGTTCTTATTTGTACGTAAACTCTGGACTTGTTGGGTTTTTCATGTATAACTTTGCAGGGTCAGTATTTAACATCAAAGGTTCTTAACCTTAATATTTCAATTAGCCAGGAAAATGTATGAAATAAATGATATTGTCGGGTTTTAACATTATTATTCCAATAAATTGGGTAAATTTATATAATAAACAACAAAGCAGGGGCTTAAACTAGTCAGATAAATTTAAACAATAAATAATATCGTCTTCATTCGGTACATTTCTAAAATAAAAACAACTTTAGGATCTCAGTCATGATATTCAAAAATAGTCAGAATAAAACCTGTTTTAGAATCTGAACCTTAATATTTAACTTTTAAAATAAACTAAACATTAGGATGTTAGGCATGATATTTAAATTAGTCGTAAATTTATCTGATACTTTTTTTTTTTTTTTTTAGGGTCTGAACCTTAATATTTAAATTAGTCACATAAATTTCTAAAATTAAAAAAAAACTTTAGCATCTTAAGTATAATAATTACATTTGAGAGACTCGTGTTTATTATGTATAATACTGTAGATCATACCTTTGATATTTAAATTAAACCAGTAATTTTTGATTAAGTATAATATTTTTGGGTTGAATTTTTTATTTTTATTTAATTAGTCAGGTCAGTCTAGACAGTAAATAATATTGTAGGGTCTTAACCTTAATAGTTGAAGTTTTCTGATAACATCACATTATGTATACAATGTTGTAGGTAAATTTAATCAGTTTAGTTTGATTTGTTGCAGAACAATATTTACCTCGAATGTGTTTTCTTACACACCAGGACTTAGTGTCTCCGGTAACAAATGCTTCATGTACGTTCAAATATTGTGGCGGATTTGAAGTGTTTTCCCAAAAATATTATAAATCTGGAATCTTTGAACATTTTGTGTCGTGAGGTCATAATGTGACGGAGCGAAAAGAGTCTCACACATCAGACATCGTGACTGTTTTATTACAGTATGACTTTAATGCCGCCTCAACGCCAAAAAGACAAATGAAATGTGAAACAATAAATAACATTAACCGAGTTGTTTTAAAAAGCCGTAAACAGTAAGCAGCCTCCTGAACGTTTGAAGAGACGCAGCGGAAACCACGGTGACAGCGTCCCAGGGCGATAAGCATCTGCTGTTGTGCAATTTACAGAAAACTTGCAGCTGAAACTTTGGCTTCCATTCACACGGTAACACTGCTGGATTGATGCAAACATCAGAAATGCGTTTGTCTCTCTTTTTTTTCATCTGATAGAAAAACTTCAACAACGCAGATCAGAAGGAAGTCCCGGAGGAAAGAACCTGTTTACACCGTCTATCCTACGCTAACCAGCTTCTCGGCAGCCTCAGTTTGCTGCTTCTCGTCAGCAACAGGACACGTGGTTGGCCGCTGCTTTACCCAAGGACACTTTGGGCTGTTGCAGAAATCAAACTGGTAGCGTTCTGGTTGCTCCTCAAACAGAAAATCATCTCACAAGAACTTAGGCACCAAATTTACTGATCAATCTGCAGGAAAACAAAAGAAAAAACCAGCTGAAGAAGAATGACAGAATCACCATTGAACTTCATTTAGAGTGATATGGACTTGGATCGAGAGAAAAAAAAAAAAAGGCATAAAGTTTTAAAAAAAAGACAGAAAAACCTGAAGCCTTGGCTGGCAGTTCATTCCACTCAGGCAGCTTCTCTCGGAGGCCTGGTCGCTATGAAAATATCTCTCACTATATAAACAGGCATAGTTAATCTTTCTGTACAGGTATTTCTCCACACAGCGCGGCGAGCGCCGTCCGTGTGTCTTGGCACTGAGGCAGGTATGAACGTTGTGGACGGATCTCGCCGCCGTCACTCGTCGACGAAGGTCAGCCGGCCCGGTCCCTCGTTCTTCATCCAGCGCCGGTACCTCTTCATCCTCGGGTCGGTCGCCATCTTCACCTTCATCTCCTCCTCCTGCTCTTTTCTGTACACCTGAAATACAAACAGCGTATGAACTTTTCCACCTGTTAAACATGTCCTCTGGTGAAAACTCAAGTTTGAAATATGCCGGAAAATGCATCATGAGCAAAACAGGCGACCAACACCACGGCTGAGTTGAAGTTACACATTCAGACTTCTGAGGTTTATCACCTGAAGAACCTGTCCTGTCAGTTTGCAGGGTGGAGCTTTTGTTGTCATTGTTGTTCTTGTTTGGAACATAAGTGGCAGAATTACTCCAACATTATAATGGCTATCACCAGGGATGGGCCCATTGTCAGTATTGTTTACGCAGAGAGACAGATGAGCACATTTGCAGCAGCTCCAGTGAATTAGCGCAGCTGTGTTTCGAGGGTGAGGCTTCGGATGTTGCTGAAGTTGTACTAAACACCACAATCAGTGAGTGCAGCTGGAATTAATTCTGTTGACGGTGCCAGGCTCAGGTTGACACTCCGAGGTTTGCTGTGCCTTTAAGGGCACGTTTACACATAGCCGGGTATTTACAAAAACGGATCTACGTTTTCAAAACTAGCATTGTCTCACCAGATTGCTTTCAAAAAAAAATCTTCGTTCACAGAAACCCACATAAACACGTCATTAAGAGCTGCTATGAGCTGCCAGACCTACAGGGGGCAGTGTAACGAGAACCATAAAGCCATGCTAGCCAATTAGAATCCTGGAAAAAACACAACAATGAATGGCACGAATTACTTCCTGTTCCTTCAACAATAATGGCGCGAGGGTCATTTGTTCGGACCGACAGAGAAGTGCAGCTGCTCCTAAATGTGTGTTAGAGAACAAAACAAGCAAAATACTTGATTCCCATCACAGCAGACGCTTGATGACGCTTTTGTCTCATACTGTGACATCAAACTCCGCCTCCTCCTGTCTACATGCAAACGCAAAGACAGAGTCCAAATCTCCACTTTGGTCGGAGTTTTCAGAAATGATTGTTTCAGTGACTCGTAGCTTCGTTTACGTGTCAACCAAAGGCCCAGATGCTTTGAAATGTCACCGTTTTTGCTACGTGTAAACGGGGCCTGAGTCTAACGCTATCTGGAAGTAAGGTTTACTTTTACAATCTGGTCTACCTGGCAGAAACACAACTTGCAAAAGACTGACCAATAAGCACAAGCCATCACCACAAATCAGGAAATTAGCTCTTCTCGCGGTGTCCAAGGCTACGCTAACAGCTAGCAGCTAAGTTAGGAGGCATGCAATGTATATCTGTTTTAAATATCGATGTTTGGTCTTTCTTGACTACCAGTACTGGCCCTGAAAAACCTATATTGGTCTACAGTGTTTGAACAGAGTCACGGGTGAGCGGTGTGCTCGGGCTGCAGCGAGTGGGGACGGCTGAGTGTAGATAGAAGCAGGAACTTTATAGATCCATGCATTCTAGAGGGAGCAATGTTGTAGAGCTACATCTAAACTATTTTAAGGCTGGAAGGGGGTTATTTTCCAGTTGCTTCTTCCATTTATTGAATTGTTTAGGTTGGGTCTCAGGGCTGATACGTATCACAGTCAAATGAAGCAATATGTTTTGTAAATTTTGTGATGTTTAATCCTTAATGTGTAAATTACTCAGGTACAGTCACACCTTAAATAAGACTGTTGGGTCTTAACTGCGACATTTATTCCAGTTAGGTTACTTTTGTAACGTCGATCATAAAATCAGAAACTAACCCGTCGTGCGCAAGACAAACCACACGTGTAAAAAAAGTTGCTTCATAGTGATACTAGAGGTGAAAAACTCTTTTAGACAAGTGAGCAAACTTTTCCAGTCAACACAGTGACTAATAGAAGCTGCTGCTGCAAAAGAAACGAGGTTTGGAGTTTTCAAAGGAAATAAACAACCAAAAAATAAATACCAGTAAGACCTGAATGAACAGCAGGTCGTGAAGAAAGAAGAAGGAAGTAGGAAGACATGAAACTGAACACGACAAACCTCGTAGTTTTCTTTGATCCAGAGCTGTTTCTCCAGGAAGGTCTTCCTGGTGTTTTCCTCCAGACTGTCAAACTGAGACTGAGACATCTTCATGTACCTCCTGAGAATTAGAAACGCCGACGTAAGACACACTTAAAGGCGTCACCTCATTCATTCGGCTGGTCGCGTCTACGAGAACCGACCTGATGATGTAGAGCTTCTCCTGGTCTCCGTACTCCTCCCTGCAGATGGTGAAGCGGTAAATCCAGGAGACGTACCAGGCCACGTAGTTGGTCAGATAATAAGGGAAGAGCACGATCTTACACAGCAGGATGTCCGACAGGTTGGGCTTCTGGTAGCCGCCTTTGATGTCGATCTTGTTCTTGATGATGTCTCGGATCACCTCCTCCTCCTGCTCGCGGATCTCCTCTTTGGACCGCCGGTTCTTGCCCTTCTCCTTGGTGCGGTTGAGGAGGCCCTGCTGCTTGGCGATCTCCGTGGCCTGGATTCGGTATTTGGGGACGGTCACCAGGTAGTTGATGGCCTCGTTGTAGCTGCTGTGCCAGCTGTAATACTGGAAACAGGGACGGACGAGTGTTAACGAGAAGTAACGTCATTTAAGGGATTTATTGACAGCAAGAAACCATCTATCACCACATTAATTAAAACTTAGCCCCGCCCACGACAGCTGTCATTGGTTTAAAGAAACGCAAACAAACCAGAGTATGTCCCCCCCCTCTGTTGCCAAATGACAGTGTGGTGCAGTTAGACCATTAAGTACTGCAGAATGAGCTGGCAAAGTGAGACTATTGTAAATCAAGGGAGCCACGTGAGCTATCCGGAAAGCACAAATTAGCCAATAAACTACATAATTAACAGCCAAAAAGGTTCACGATTGATGAGCCAACAGTCCATCTGTGGTCTAACAAGCCTAACTGGAATTTAAAGTGGCCATATTATGTGAAACCATTATCAGAATCAGTGTTTTTGCCAAGTCGGTTTGACATCTTATACATTCTCCTCACGTTCTGCCACGTTGCAAATCGAATTATACGTACATGTTTACTGTAATTCATCAAGTCGGATCATTAAACACACTGGTAGGTTACAACAAAACAACAGACAGACGATGCAGCTGCGCCAGACGTCACATTTAACTGTCAGCACCACACAAACTGACGATCTGAGGCTGTTTAACGGCCGTTGCTACAACTCCTCCGCTCAAATTCCTGGTGGTCGGAGCTAAGAGGCGAGGAGAGGAGTCGAGGATGTGCCATTAGTGAAATAAGATACGTGGGCAGCAGCTGAGTTGAATGTGAAGCTACAGACTCTAAAACAGCCCGTCGGTTCTACGCAGCCACAGGAAAATTAACCGTCTTTCAGAGACGTTTGTGTATGAAGGGTGTAAGGGGCACAGTGTGGGACGTTTCCAACAGTTTCTGGCAGCTGCATTCGTACCTGGAAGATGGAGATGGCACAGATCGTGACCAGGATGACAACCCTGACATCCACTTTGGGGGTGAGCTGTCGGCGGTAGTAGGCGTAGTAGTGCTGGTAGTACTCCTCAGGATGGTCCAGCATGTAGTCATAGTCGCGTCGCGTGTCCTCATCCTGCACACGTACACAACAACAACACATTTTTACTTTCCTTTAAGGAGAAACGAGGTGCATTCAACTCCAACCTTGCTCCATTTTGGCTCCATAAAACCAGCAAAGCCGCGACTTTAGAGAAAAAAGCTAAAGAAAAAACAGATGTAGTCGTATTTCGAGAGCAATTAACGAAGCTAAAAGTTTGCCCGAATGTTGTAAAAAACACAGAGCGGTTCATTTCCCCTGTGTGTTAAATAAAATCTATAGTCGTTGCAGGATGTGCGTCAGCTACAGGTTCCTTCTCGTGTAGAAGCTGTGATGCAAACACACAGTATTATCTCACTGTAGTGGTTTCCTTTGCTGCATCATGAAAGTCTGATTCATACAGTTTCCTCCCAACAGTGGAGGTCGAGATAAGTCTGCTGCTCGAACTCCGACAAGCACTGATGTGGCCTCGACTGATTAGTTTCGCTATTGTTCGCTTTTAACATCTTTCCAGATTATCAGTGTCATTGCTTTTTTTTTTTCTACCAACTTTCAGTAAAAATGTATTTAAAAATGCATCACTTTGGCTCTGATGTGACGTTTAACACATCAACACACATCAAATGTTGAAAACTTTCTATTTTTTTTTATTAAACACAATAAAGATATTTCAACAAACATGCAACCTCAATATTTATATAATAATCATAATAATTATCAGAGATTATTTGATCTACTTGTGCAGACTCTGATTCAATGACATGATGAGGAATAGCTGTGAAGAGTTCAGCCTTTTATCTTCAATAGTTCCTGAGATGATGTTGTTGCAAACGACAACAACAAAACAGAATTGCAGCTTCAGAGATCAGTTCCTAAAATAAGATAAATGTAAAATGCCATCATTGTTCTGGTCCCTGTTACAGCCAGTGTGAAGGTTTTAACACTTTCAGAGACTTTTAAAGTTCTTGAACTGTTCTGGACTCACTGACTTCATGTCTTGGAGTAACGACGCACACTTCTCGCTGTAATGTGGGTTTTAAGTTTGGACTGTTTGTTGTTTACCAACAACACTAACTTTTGTTTACTGGAAACTTTCCAGCTGGTCAACATGCTGCCATCCAGGAAACAAAGTCACATCAAATTACAGGACAGAGGAACCAAATGGGGCCTTTACGCACATTATAAGTATATTAGAGCAGTGGCACCGGAAGTGGGTCGAGAGATCGAACCAGAAAGGGATTTAAAGCAGTAAAAGTTTGGACTAATACAGACAAATATTAAGTTTGTGAGACAACAGGGGGTTAATATTGGATGAAGTGAACGCAAACTGCAGTTTTTAATGAGTTCTGTCCTCTTGAAGCAACATTTCAGGAGTTTTGCAGAAGATTAAAAGTACTTCTGAGAACATTAAGAGACGCAGGAAGTGAGAAAACTTTGCAGAGAGACTTGAACCGACCTTCAGCGTCTCGTAGGCGGTCGCGATGAGCAGGAACTTCTTGTGTGCAGTCTCCTGGGTCTCTCCCTCCGAGCCGGGCTCTCCCGGCCGGAACCGATCCGGGTGGTACCGGCGGGCCAGCTGTCGGTAAGCCCGGGCTATCTCCGCTTTGGTGGCCTCCCGGGTGACGCCGAGCACATCGTAGCACACCTCCGTGCCGCAGTACAGACCCTCCACCAGCGCCGTCACCGCCGGCAGCGAGGACAGCGACAAGAGGAGCACCGAGAGCCGCCACCAACACTTCCCCGTCCGCAGGCACCCAGCGAACCCGCCGCCACCTCCTCCGCCTCCGCCGCGGCTCCGCTCCGTGGGCGCAGCCATCTCTGTCCGCCTGCTGCCGCTGATGCTGCTGCTGCTGCTGCCAGCTCCGGAGCCTGTCCCGGCGCACACTGCTTACGTCATCCAGCCGCGCCGCGGACGACGGAAGCCGCAAAGATCGTTTGTAAAAAGCGAGAAGAGAGTTTCTTCAAAATACTTTATTAATCCCCGAGACGAAAAACAAACAATATAAACAGTACACAAAATATATAAATAAACACACGCACAAGTTATAAACTAAAACATAAACACAAGAGGGAAAATATGACCTAAAATAGAACCTTGAGTTGAAAAATAAAATAGAATAGAAGATTTTTGTTGTCAGTTTCTTGTATATATATCCAGGACATACAGAGGAACTGAAAGGATGGTTCTCTCTCACCTTGTATTAGTGCCATACATAAAAAAAGGGATCAAAATACAGTATGAATAAAATCAAATGAAATAATAATAATAATAATAATAATGATAATAATAATAATAATAATAATAATAATAATAAATCAGCCTATGTACAGTGGTGGTAGTGTAATACAGTTACTGAGGTGATCGTGATGCAGTACGGTAACAGCTTATATACGTCCTCACATAGAAGCATAAATGGAAAAACATGTCCTGAAATATAAACACATGTAGAAAAGCACATTCTATGTTTAATGTCTATATCCTGTTTATAGCTATATTCTATTTTTTCTTTTTCTATTTTTTAAATACTTTTTTATATTTATTTTGCACCGTATTGCAATTTCAGTTCTCTGCATGTTGCACATGTGGCAAAACTGACAATAAAAGCTGACTCGATCTGGTTTTTATTTATTGTTTGAACTGAATTTGATTGAAGAGCGAGCGAGCCGTCCTCGTGCACACACGATCTCTGACTCCAGAGCAGAGTGATGACGTGTAGCGCGGACTGACTGTGTCGCCCCCTGGAGGTCAACCTCCAACCTGCTGTCAGGGAATAAAGCAATGCTCTGCTTTTTCTGTTAGTAACACATTTGATTTATAAATAAATAAACAAACAAACAAACACACAACATTTCATGTGCAATATGTCACATTTTCATATCTCAGCTGTAATATTTTTGTGCAACATTGTCGATTTTATTATCATGCTATTTATTGCCGACTTTCACCAGCATTACGTTTTTTGTTGCTCTGCTCATTTCATCTACTTGTTGTATTTCTGCATTGTATCATACTTATATCTTATTGCTATTCTACTTTTTAGACGTTGGATTTATTATTATTATCATTATTGTTCTTATTTTTTGGCTAAAATTTCTAAAATCTCATCTTAAATGTGGTGAAATTGGCCTGCTTGGACGTAAACTGGATTATAATTCGCGACAGTGATATTATTCCAGCGTGAAGCTCATGTTTAAGCTGCTTCGTAATTGGATTTAAGGCATGTTGCACCCAAACAAATGTAGTTTGCCACCTTTTTTCTTTAGAAGCATCACCAAAACGCTCTTCTACACGCACAGCTTCAATAGCTTTTCCCATTTTAAGAGCATAAAGTGTATTAATGTTGCAGATTTTCAGTGCTTCAGCCTAAATATAACATTATCTGCAGCAGATAACTGATCTAATCACTAAATAAATGAATGCATTATTGTAGAAAAGCAGACACATACAAACGGTATCGGCAATACGAGTAACATGACCCCCGACACAGCTTCAGAATCAGTGCATTTTAATGATATATGTACCAGAAAGCATGTGCATGTGTGTGGACAAACACAAAAAAACCCCAAACCAACAGTGGTACTGATTAGCTTTTGTTTTTTTAAAGTTCATAAAAACAACTTGCAAGAATAAATCAGAAATCACAACATTTTTCCATCTATATTTTCATCCCGAACACTAAATACGATCACACGGCTGCTTCATTAAGGCAGAAAATAATCACAGAAACAATAACAAATACACAACAAACTCTATATCTACACAACATACAGCGCAGTATAACAGTAACGATTGTTATTTATTTTTTAAAACAGTTTATTAACCTGTTTTATGGCAAACACCAGCAATCTTGCGCCTTTTTTTGTAAATGTCATTTTGTACTTGTTTTGTGTCTCAATTAGTTCATTTTTTCATTTTTCTGTTGTTGTTTTCCATTTTTTAACATTTTTTTTGTCTAATTTTGGTCATTATCTGTCACTTTTGGGTCATTTTATGTCTGTTTGCTGTTGTTTTGGATGTCATTTTAGTCATTTTTCCTCGCTCTCTTGTTGTTTTCCATTTTTTACAT